CCCACGAGCGTCAGCCCTGACTGGAGGAGGGCTTTGTGCACTAATGGGCCAACCTCAGTTCTATTTCCAAATACCATGAGTAGAAGTGTTGATTCGCATAACACTAAGTGGTCACTCCCTGAGATCCCATTTCACTTATGAACCTGTGTGGAACCTCTGTGAACACACTCCAGCCCATGGTGGAACAGGAACCACCTACTAAGATGTGGACCTAGGCTTTCAGTTCTTCCTCTACCTCCCTTCCTTTTGCCTGCCTGAGAACACCCAGCCCATCGCACATCCTAAGAAGCCTCCTTACCACACACACAATGCTTCCCTCCGCTGCTGTCGTCCCCACTGGAGGCCGAATTTGGGTCTATAGCCATGTTGGACCTTGAGGGTGGAGTTGGGAAAACAACATTGACAAGGTCCTGGCAGCTGCCTCTCTGTCTTCGAGAGGCTTTCGAGTCCGTGTACAGGGCAAGCTAGCCAGAGGTTCCAGGGAGCGAGTAGCTTCGTACAAACCTCAGCCCCAGCTTCCCCAGAACCATGTGAGATGGCCACACAGCACTTCCTAGTGAGCATGGCCCAGCTGCCCCAGTGCTGTCTGCTTTCCCCATCCTTTCCCATCACACTCCCCCTCCGGCCCAGCACTTCTTGGTATCACTCCCCAAATAAACCACACGCACTGACATTCCAATCTTGAGTTCATTTTAGAAGAACCTCAGACTCTCCACAGGGGAAAACATTTTGTTCCAACGGTGTGTCGCTCGTTATCTCCATCAGGAGCCTTAACAGGCTGGAGCACACAGACACGTCTCCACAGGTTTGCCATCAACCAAGGGGTCACAGGGACATGGAAAGAAAGATAACTTGCCTACAGATGTGCAAACAGAGCTCCACACAATCAATGAAAGAGATGTCTGACCACCAGTGCTGTCCTCAAAATCAGAGCTGACAAACACATCTTTAAATACATTCATCAAATGTTTCTCATTACCACAAACATGTTCTCTTACTAGGCAATTAAAAAAATTAAAAAAGATTCCCAGGGAGGCTAAGGCGGTTGTTTGCTGTTGCATGGGGCAGGGGCCACCTCTATGTCACCATACAGAATTCTCTTTTGTAAGATGACTTACTGACACCAGAAAGGCATTTCACTCTATCCAAAAAGGGGGAACTGTGACAAGCCACCTATAATTGCCACTCATTTTGAGCTAGATTGTGTTCAGAAAAATCCTTGAACGGACGGCTCCAAACGAAGCAGAATAAAGCAGAATAAAGTGACGGAGAAACGACTGGAACCAGCACCAGGCAGGGCTCTTATTAACGCCCATCCTCTCCTCACAGCAGTCCCACTGGCTGGCAGCACAGCACTGGTTCCCATCCATCAAGAAAACGCGCATCAGTCCATTCTAGCAATGGTGCAGAGGTATCTGCTTTGCAGCGACCCAGCCTCTTAAAGCACAGACACATGATCTCAAAACCATAGTGTTATACACCTGGACTCTTGACACCAAACTGGAACCAAAAATCAGCCATGGTTGTGAGGCATCTCCAGATGTCCCCATGTTAGCTCAAAGAATGGTGGCATTTTAACCTCTTTCTTTGGGAAGCCGTTACACCTTCATCCATACATGAACGGACCACAGTATATCTATGGGCCCAACATAATATTCTTAGTGCCTGAAACAGACAGAAAGTATTAAGCTTACCGCTTTCAAAATCTCCCATCATAAAATACCAAAAGGTCAAGGTTTTACTGAAGACAAGCCTGTGCTTGCTATCTCTGCTGTTGATTTTTTGACTCTCTCATGATTTTTTTTGGGGGGGGTTGATAATGTGATTTCTTTCCTTTGTTTCTCCTTTGCTCTTCTTTTTTATAGTGTATATATCTATGTATGATGACGCACATGCCACATTACACACGTGAAGACAAAAGGCGATTTCTGAAGAACAGTCAAGGGAAGTGAAGTCAGTCCACTTCTCTTGGGCATGCAGGAAAGGCAGGCAGATGGCAGACTCGGGAGAAGAGCTATCATACACCAAAAAACGAAAATGGGTAAAACTCGGAAAGTTTTACTGAAGATCTGGTGTCAAAAGGATAAGAAGAGGCTGAGCCAGTTTGCTCGGGGCAGTAGAATGGAGTGGGTGACTGTTCCGGAACTTCTCTGTCCAGTCCCCACTTCTTAGAGTACCCCCACCATCAAGCTGAGACACCTAGACTCGTGAAAAAGGACAGAGGAATAAAGCCAAGGTGGCATGGTCTTCAGCCCAGCCTCCGTCCAGAGCCATGGCTGTCATCCCTGCCAGCTGCCCAGGCTAAGTGTGTGTCCTTCATCCCCAGTGACCACAGTCTGCCAATGTCACATGGAGCAGACACCCAAGCAGATGGGTCTGGTCAGGCCCAAGTATCACAAAGAATAATAGAGTAAAATTCTGAGATTTTTCAAGCCATTCGGTTTGGGGTAGTTTGTTTTGTGGCGCTAGGTAAATGACACAAGTCTATGGCTGGCTTAAACAAAAGCCTCTGTAATCTGTGCATCTTACATTCTGCTTGTGTGGGTAAAAAAGCCAGAGAGCTAGCAGCTGACTCATCATGGAACTTGTACATCCCACTGCGTGAGTTACTTTTGTGTTGCAGTGACCAAAAGACCTGACAGAAACATCTTAAGGGAGGAGCTATTTCTTTCAGCTCACAGTCTCAGAAGGTTCAGTTCCTGGCTGTTTGGGGCTATGAGACTGAACAGAACATCACGAGTTCAGGGTCCTCTGGTAGAGGGCAGTTGTTCATGTTACAGGGGACCAGTAAGCAAAGACAGTAGGCAGGAAGTGACAAGAGATACTATACCCTGAAGGACCCCCTCCCAGAGACATATTTCTTCCAGTTAGGCTCACTTCTCCAAGTCTCCAGAATTTCCCATAACAGTACCACCAGCTGTAGAGCAAGCTTTCAACATATGAGTCTGTGTTAGACATTTCAGATTCAAACAATAATATTAACTGCTTAGAAAAAATGAAAGCAGAAATTGTGGTGGCCCCTCTGAACTCCACGAGGGACACTGATGATATGATCAACAGTCATATGGAAAAAAGAACAGGGAAGCTTCTAAAGTGTGTCATCCAAGCAGAATTCTAGACTATGGTTTGTGTTCTGAAGGGAAGCCTGGTGCCATATGTCAGGTGGAAGCTGCTCTATCTGTGCTCCTTGAAATTAATTCTATAGACTAATTAGTAACTCTCCATTAGCCAGAAGATTGGGATCACCAAACATGTCATGATTTAGAGTTAACAGTCTTATACACAGCCATAAAACCATCTCTCATTGCCCCATTATTGAAATTCTACTACATTAAAAAACATACTCATACTTTTCAGATAAAACTCATCAGAACTACGAAACAGTTTTAATTGATAGATAACATCATCATCCTCCCACTTATAAACACACAACTGCCACTGAATGTTGGTACTGAATATCCTCCCTTTGCAGAGGGCCCCACTAGGGATGCCGCATGCATTACAGAAATTTCCTTACAAACTCTCAATTGTTTTTCCACACATTTTTACCTTGAAATTCTAAACTCTAGTACCTGGAAATGTGACTGTATTTAGAGGCAGACCCAGAAAAACATCAACTAAAAAGTAAGATGGGGTGTTGCATGCTTGTAATCCCAGCATTTAAAAAGTAGAAGCAGAAGGTTACAGGTTCTAGGACAGTCTTCACATACAGCAAGAACCCAACACACACACACACACACACACACACAAAAGAAGTCAAGCCTGGCTACACTTTCTGCTCAGTCATTTATCCTTTAGAACCATTAGCACACAAATGTCTGCTGATTAAGCAGTGGCCTTAAAAAATGGTGCCGTTCCACAGCAGACCTGGAATATCAGTGCAGTCTCCAGGAAATGGATGACCTCAGCTGCTTCACCCACTCAATAAAGGACCACTCAGTCTGACCTCGGACATCCCACAAGGTCAGTTATCTGAACCTTAAGAAGCAGACAGTGGCACAAATGAGGAGGTGGTTTTCTTCTAGAGGCACATTCAGTCATTCAAGGGAAAGCCAGAAACAATGAAATTTGTGAATACAAGAAACTGAACCTGGATGTCCAGGCTCCTGGAAGTAGCAAATACAAGTAGAATATATCAGCTGCCCAGGCAATTCTCTGAGGGATCACTGATCAGTGGTGGACGATCAGTGTCCTGAGTCAGGATTACCTGGGGTCCTCTCTTTACCCGGACAGAAGCAAAGGTGCAAGATCTTTAGGATCCTCCCCCCTCCCCTTTGCATGACATCATACTGGCCATCCTGTTTAGAACAGAGATGTTCAAAGTTCTCTTACTGAGCCACACAGCTGTGACAAGGAATTTCACTGCTTCTAGAACTTACGCCTGCCTAGAAACTTGCTTTTGGGTCATCTGGGCTGCAAATCACATTGCCTTGAATTACAAATGAATCCTTTAAATTTTTGCCCGCAAGATAAAAACATGACTGCCATCAACATCATCCTGCTCTTACGGATCTTCCTCAGCCTGTGCACATGCTTCTGTGAGAAGCATGCTCTGCAGGAACTCAGTCAAAGTGCAGCAGATAGCTAGTGCACAATGGGGAACAAGTCAGACAGGTCTAAACTGTAGTCTGCAGTGCGCATGCTGTTTGGCACCTTCCGCTGTGGATTGTAATGGCTGTCATTCAGATACAAAGGTACTGCTTTAAGAATGCTTTACATTCCTGTAAATAAGAGAACAATCTTACGCATCTATAGTACAGTCCCTTGGACCGGCACCTCTGGCAGCAGGTGGGACAACCTGAATTTACATGCAAATACAGCAAAAACCAGCAGAGGGACAGAGCAGCCTCCCAGAGACCTGCCCACTTGGAAAGTCTCACAAGGAGCAATGGCTCCAAATTAAAGATAACACAGCCAGCTTTTCTGTAAAATGCTCAAATATGCTTTATTGCTCCATGCATGCAAGGGAAGATCATTTCCCATCTGTCAGATGCGCTTACCTGTTATAGAGGAGAATGTCTGGTTTCCAAATCTGGCCATCTGGGAAACGAACATTCTTCACTCCCGGGTACTCGGACATGTTCCACTGCAAATAGTGATCTGTCCAAGACTGACAAAGATGGAGCATTAGCAGTATGCTGTCCCCGGCTTACTTCTACTTCTCGTGAGAAATTACTAGGAAAGTTCAAAGCCAAGAGTTCAGACATTATTCTACAACTGAGCTGGTATCTATAAAGTGTAAGGAAACCGAGAATTAAATAATCCCTTCTAAAATGATCTAGAATAGCATAAAAATCACATTTGGGGACCTGCTGTCACCATGACCACATTCAGATGGTGGCATTAAAGCTAATTCCGACTCACTGCACACCCCTAGGCTTAGGCTTCTCCTCCTTCGGTAGACGGGTTGCTTCTAGCCAAATGAACAATGGTTCTGCTTTCAAAGTTTTCCCGAAAGGGCATTTTGAAAAAAAATAAATTCACTTATTCCAACTGGAAACAAAACCAAGCTATAGAAAAGTCAACCATTTGTTTCCATAAAAGCAGAACCTCTCAGAACTTCTGAGGGCACACTTAAACATGATTTCTGACTTTGTCTTATGGACAGTTCTTTATTAATTAAATTATTTATATTACATCTCAACTGCATCCTCTCCTCCAACTCCCACCCCCCTCCTCCCCTCCACTCTCCCCAAGCCACCCCTCCCCTGTAATCGCTCAGAAAGGGGCAGGCCTCCTATGGGCTTCAGCAAAGCATGGCATATCAAGCTGCCATAAGACCAAGCACCCTCCCCTGTATTGAGGCTGGGCAAGGCACTCCAGTATGAAGAATAGATTCCCAAGTGCCAGCCAAAGCATCAGGGACAGCCCCTGTTCCCACATATAGACCAAGCAACACAACTGTCACATATATGCAGAGGGCCTAGGTCAGTCCCACGCAGGTTCCTTTGTTGTCAGTTTAGACTCTGAGTTCCCATGAGCCAGGCTAGTGGTTTCTGTGGGTTTTCCTGCAATGTTCCCGACCCCCCTGTTTCCTACAATCCCTGCCCAAGTGCAGCCTAATGTTTGGCCGTGGGTCTCTGAATCTGCCTTCATCAGTCACTGGATGAAGGCTCTCTGATGACAACCAAGATAGTCACCAATCTGATCACAAGGGATGGCCAGTTCAGGCTATATGCATCCATTCCTGCCAGGAGTCTTAGCTGGGGTCATCCTTGTAGACTCCTGGAAGTTTCCCTTGGGCTTCTACTGGACTGCATAAAATCCTTCTAGTCATCTCTCTCAGCATGGACAGTGCTTTTGATACTACAAGCTGATACCTCAAACTCTGGGCCTCAGCAGTAGAACACAGACACAGGGATGAGAACCCAGGAACGTTCATAAGTACAGCAACTTGGGGCCAGGCCCTACGGAGTCATCTCTACCCCCAGGAAGGCCCACAATCCTTGCTCCAATAACCAGGTACCTCCAGCCATTCCCAGGGCCAAGACTGCAGAGATACCACAGCAGAGTCTCCTACTACTGACAGGCTGCCAGCCTTGCCCCATTAGGTCTCAGGGCTGGCAGTAAAGGACCCACCAACTCTGTATGTGTCTCTGCTGACATTCGTGTGGCAAGATCCAGACTTTCCAGGATTTAGGAAGGTGTTATACCTCCACTGAGAACCAGAGTGCCCCCCATAATCAAACACATTCTCATTTGTGCCCTGAAACTTAGCCAAATTATTTATGCTAAGACACATATAAATGCTTCGGTTGTATAGCAATCTCCATTTGATTTCTGACCACGTGTTCTGTATAACATTATAAAACAATATTTAAGCCAAAGGAACCAGATTGTCAGAGCTACTAGACTTGGAATACACAGATGAGCATTGTGGGTCTAGAGCTATTTATTATGGCCATGAAGATCCATGGACAGGTCTCAAAGGTCTAACCATCCTCTGGAGGACAGGCAGTGTTCTACAGTCTACTTCAGAACTGGAATAATTTGATGTCAGAGAATAGGGGCTTTAACAACTAGGGACACCTCAGCAAACAAGGATGTTACATTAACTCAGCATGCAGCAGCATCACTGGGACATTAACACCTCTCCTGCAGGGGCCCACAGTTGATGAGATTTATGGGGAGTGGAACACCGAGGAAGTTCTGGCCTGGTTCAAGTGGTCTGCTGGGAGCTCCTGGAGAGCAGCCAAACCATGTTTGTAACAGCCTGCTCCATCTGGATGTGCTTGGCTCTATGTTCCCCTTCATTTCTCTCTGCTGCTTTGGTATCAACACACTTCCATCTTCTACTTCACCCTGGGATGCTGCTCTGAGTTAATCATAGTGACCATTATTGTGACCACGGGGGCAAGAGTTCCAAGAACTTCCCTTAAAGGCATGCTGCCATGACAGACAAGGACCCATCTCCTAAGCCTGATGGCATGATGACTGGAGGAGTTGGGAAGTGAGGGGATGGGATCACCTAGTTGTTCAAACTTAAGACCACTTACAGGGACCAGGTCAGAGTTGCCTCACACCTCCCATCTTGCCCCACATCCCTTGGCTTCTGAGCATACCCAGCTGCAGGTACTCCCCAGTCTTGTGGCAGGTGATATCACTGCTATTTTGTTTGCTCAGCACTGTTTGTGTGCCTCCTAGCTCACCACAATCCAAGCATGTCAATGTGATGATAGAAAAAAGCTCTGACAGCTCTGTATTTAAGTTGGTCACTGAGTCAAGACTCAATTGTATCATCAGACCTCAAGTAAATGAATCTTTGGGCTGTCTCGGGGCTGGTTCTGCAAAAGTTCTCTCTGTACTACAAGCCTTCCACCATAGCAACACAGAACAGATGCAGTCTCTGAAGGTGATGATCTGTGCATGCTACTCTCCCTGATGTCAAAACCAACCTGACCTACCGGCCAGTGAGGGGGAATGGCTGCAAGAACAGATCTGGGCTGTGAGAGACTTGCTGGGAGAACGTAGGGGCTGAATTATCTTCTAGGGTAAAATGAGACCACTCCTGCAGCATCAGGGCAAAATCATGGGGTCCTCATAGACAAGCAACAAATGATGGCTTTAGAAAATGAGGCTTTCATTTTACAGAATACTACAGGACACAGGGCTACAGTATCTCCAATGTCTGAGATACAAACAGTGGTATAAGAAGCATGGGAGATGTGGGAGGCATGCTAGCACAACATAGGAGTTGAAAAATGAACCTTAAGCTGCCTATTGGGGGCTTCCTAGGGAAAAAATGTGGAATGAGGTCCTTGCAGTCTGGTTCTAGCAGGAATGGATGTGTGTTCCCAAAGCATTTTCTGCCACTCAGGTTTTGGGCCTGTGGGGATAGGAGGAGCCCAAGGCGTATTTCTCTATGGATAGCACCTGGCAACCTTTCAACATGGCAGCTCCTGAGAAACCACATGAATGAACCAAAGACAGCAAGCCCCAGAATGAAAAGTGTGTGGGTTGTACAGTGGCAGAGGGAAGGGGAGGTGGGAATGCAGGATGCACCTCTGTGGCAACAACTCCTTACCCGACTCTGACGCCTCAGCCCTCTATGGGCCTGTCTTGAGTTTGCAGGGAACTTTTATTTAAATGTGTGTCTAAAGATGGCATGAAAACAGGGCTGGACAGAGCCAGGCAGGTGAAATATCCTCACTTGCAGTTCTTGGTCAAGGGAGACCAAGACATGCCCAAATCAATATAGATTATTGACGGTGCTCTTGATTGCTTCCCAGAACTTGAAGGTAAAATGCAGTTCTGAAGATACCACCCACTTTAGTTGGATATAGGACTTAGAGGAATCAAGCTAGAGCCAACCTGGAAGCCTCCTCTTTGAGGACTAGCTCTCATAGTATATGAAGGTGCTATGCTAGCAGCCAAGGAAGAAAAGCAATCAGTAGTCCCGCCCCGCTATAAAGGCTGGGAACCACAATAATAACCAGCAAGGCAAGATAGCCCCCACTGGTAAAACAGTGACACTTAAGATATAAGAGTAACCAAGAGCTCTACAATTAGACTAAAGGCCCATTCAAGAGGAGGAAGTCCATGCCTGGTACTGTAAATCCAGCCAGCAACGCATGGCTAGTGAGGTCACGGACCCTCAAGAAGAGGGTCCTACCCTCTTGTCTAAACTGCTATACTTTCTAACTGCATTCTAAATACTTCTTCTCATACTCACAGATAAGTATAGATCTCATCCCTCATCAAAGAAGCTTCTTTGTGAAGCACACAGAGACCATCACGGAAACCCACAACTAGCCCAAATGCAGAAAACAACTGGTGCTGGTATTTCTAACCGCAACTGATAACACCTACGGCACCATCCCTAAGGCTCAGGGAACATCACAGAACATGGGGCAGGAATATTTACACCACTCACTGTCATGCCAACACAGATGGGGGAAATTCCAGGGAAGTGTTTATCTAATTACTCTTTATCAATAAAAGTCAGGAGTCAGATATTGGGGTAAGAACCCGAGTAAACAGAGAAATGGCAGCCCAATCCTGCTTGAGAGAGAGACAGCCAGTCTTCTCCAGGGACCAGCCCCCTGACAGGCTCTCCTTTTTTTTTTTTGGTTTTTCGAGACAGGGTTTCTCTCTGTGTAGCTTTGCGCCTTTCCTGGAAATCACTTGGTAGTCCAGGCTGGCCTCGAACTCACAGAGATCCGCCTGGCTCTGCCTCCCGAGTGCTGGGATTAAAGGCGTGCGCCACCACCGCCAGGCCAGGTTCTCTAACCACCAGTGTCTGCCCTAAACACACATATACAGATGAGCAACAATAAAGGGACCCACCAAGTTTCCTTTGTTCTCTCTCTTCCTCCCTCTCTCAACCTCCCTGGGTCTGTGTGTGTGTGTGTGTGTGTGTGTGTGTGTGTGTGTGTGTGTGTGTGTGTGTGTATGTGTGTAATAACTAAAATATAAGAAAAAGATCAATAATTTCAAGAAGAGTGGGAGAGGACACAGGAGATGTTAGAGAAGGAAGGACTGGAAATGATATAAATATATAATACCAATGCATGAAATTCTCAAAAAATATATTTTTTTAGAAATAAAATAGTTTTGTTTCCTTTAAAAATACATTGCAATAAAATGAGAAATACATTTGGTTTTCTTTGC